ACATACAAATGTCCAATAGGCATATACAAAGATGTTCCACACCATTCACCATAGGGAAAAACAAATCTAAACCAAGAGACACCACCTCCAGACACTAGGATGGCTATAATAAAAAAGACAGATGTTAATAACAAGTCTTGGCAAGGATGTGGAGAAACCGGGACCTTCATACACTGTTGGTGGAAACAAAAAATGGTGCAGTCACCTTGGAAAGCAGTGTGGCAGTTCCTCAAAAAGTTAAACAGTTACCATTTGACCCAGCAATTCTACCCTTCAATATATGAGAAATGAAAACATATGCTCACATAAAAACTTGTACACAAATGTTTATAGCAGCATTCAGAATAGCCAAAAGATAGAAACAACCCAAATGTTCATCAATGAGGGGAACAGATAAATAAGATGTGGTATGGCCATACAATGGAATATTATTCAGCTATGAAAAAGAATGAAATACTGATACGTTACAACTTGGATAAACCTTGAAAACATGCTAAGTAAAAAAAAAAGCCAGTCAAAAAAGACCACATTCCAAGCCAGCCCTATGGCCTAGTGGTTAAAGATCGGCACTCTCACCACTTTAGTGGCCCGGGTTCGGTTCCCAGTTGCAGAACCACACCATTTGTCTGTCAGTTGCCATGCTGTGGCAGTGGCTCACATAGAAGAACCAGAAGGACTTACAACTATGACATACAACTATGCACTGGGGCTTTGGGGAAGAAAAAAATAAATAAAGCACGTCTCGTTTATTTATTTTTTTGGTGAGGAAGATCAGCCCTGAGCTAACATCTGTTGCCAATCCTCCTCTTTTTGGTGAGGAAGACTGGCCCTGGGCTAACATCCGTGCCCATCTTCCTCTACTTTCTATGTGGGGTCCTTGCCACAGCATGGCTTGATAAGTGCTGCATCGGTCCACGCCCGGGATCCGACCCTGCAAACCCTGGGCTGCCAAAGCGGAGCACGCAAACTTAACCACTATGCCACCGGGCCAGTCCCTAAAGCACATCTTATTTAAAAAAAAAAAAAAAAAAAGACCACATTCCATGTATATGAAATGTCCAAAACAGGAAAATCTACAAGGACAGAAAGTCAAGTTGTGGTTGCCTACGGCTGGAGGGACAGAGAGGGTAAGGGGAGGGTGATAGCTAAAGCGTACCGAGTTTCTTTTTGGGTGAAAAAAATGTTCTAGAATTGATTGTGGTGACGGTTGCACAATTCTGTGAGTATAATAAAAACCACTGAATTGTACATTTTAAATGAGTGAATTGTAAGTGAACTATATCACAATACAGCCGTTAAAAAACTTCTTCAGGCCAAATGTAACTGCCATAGCAATTAATGTAAATGGGCTAAGTGACAAAACACACTTTTTCCAAATTGCTCTAACACCTAGAGCAGGGGATGGCAAACTTTTTCTGTAAAGGGCCAGCCCCGTGGCTTAGCGGTTAAGTGCGTGCGCTCCACTGCTGGCGGCCCGGGTTCAGATCCCGGGCGCGCACTGCCTCTCTGGCCATGCTGAGGCCACATCTCACATGCAGCAACTGGAAGGATGTGCAGCTATGACATACAACTATCTACTGGGGCTTTGGGGGGAAAAAAATAAATAAATAAAATCTTTAAAAAAAAAAAAAAAGAGCCAGAGTAAATATTTTAGGCTCTGCAGGCCATGCAGTCTCTGTTGCAACTAGGCAGCTCTGCCACTGTAGTGAAAGCAGCCCTAAATGATATGTAAATGAACAAGCATGGCTGTGTTCCAATAAAACTTTATTTATAAAAACAGGTGGCAGGCTGCACTCCTTACCTACGGAATCTCCCTCAACACAACATGACCACTCTATGAAAACGACAGGTAATGCCTCTGAGGTGGCAGAGACTCTAAGGAGCTAAATGACTTAGCCAGGTGACAGACAACTTGTAAACAGAGGAGACAAGACTTCTGGCTGTGACTTCACTGGGCACTGCACTCAGCCAGACATGCAGCCTCTCCAGAACACCTTCCCCTCTAAGCAGCTGATGGATCTCTGACAGCTGGTTCACAGACGGACCGCCACACAGCCTCACACAGATCTCCTCCAACACCTCAGTGACCCTTTCCTAACCCCCTCCTCTCCTGACAACCTTCAATGGCATGGCCATTCCTAAGCAGCCAAGTTCAGTCTGCTTGCCAACCGAGGTCTTCGTCAAGAAGGCCCAACTTGGGTTTAATCTTCCACTACTCCAAAGACTCACAGTCTCAAACTGGTCAAGTCTTTGTAGGGCACTCATAGGCCTGGTTGACGTACTGCCCCCCACTGTGCTTCGCTCTTTCCTTCATCCATATTTTTTTTCATGTTTGACTACCTACCATGTACCAGGCACTTCCAAGAGCCTAAATTAGTGGCTCTGCAGTAGAAAGGAAAAGGAGATGGCAGATCAAGTGCCACCATAACGGGAAGTGGCCTCCACTAATCTAAATTAATCCTCCGCTCATGCCAACTTCAGTGAACTCTTGAATGTGTCCCCTCTGCCAGTGTTGCGCCTCCCTGGGATGCTGTAAAGGAAAAAACACAAAACCTCTTATTTTCCTTTACCTTTTCCTTTGGGGGTTTTCCCACCAATCAACTCTGCAACACCAGCTGGTGTCTACAATTTAATTAAGTTCTGACGCTATCTACCTGGAGTTAGTGTCAGATCCCACAGGCTAAGGGCTCAGCCCAAGACTGATTCCCACCTCCCCCCATGCCCCACGTCAGACACCGATCGCAAGTCCAGGTTGTCACCTGTGCTTCTGACCTGTAAATGTGAGATTCCCAGGATCCCTCCTCAGGTTTGATTAATTTGCTAAAGCAGCTCACAGAACTCAGGAAAACATTTTACTTACTAGATTACCCGTTTATCATAAAAGGATACAACTCAGGAACAGCCAGATGGAAGATGCACAGGGCAAGGTATGGGGAAAGGGGCACGGAGCTTCCATGCCCTCTCTGGGCATGCCACTTTCCTAGCACCTCCATGTGTTCACCAACCCGGAAACTCTCCGAACCCCGTAGTTCAGGGGTTTTATGGAGGCTTCATTACATAAGCGTGATTGATTAAATCACAGGCCATTAGTGATCAAGTCAATCTCTAGCCCTCTCCCCTTCCCAGAGATCAGGAGGTGGGGCTGAAAGTTCCAACCCTCTAATCATGTGGTTGGTCCCCTGGCAACCAGCCCCCATCCTTAGGGGCTTTCCAAAAGTCACCGAATTAACATAAAGTCAGACGTGGTTGAAAGGTGCTTGTTACGAATAACAAGATGTTCGTTTCACCTTTATCACTCTGGAGTTATTTCAGGACAAAAGACCAAATACTATAACAAAATATTCTCCTATAGCTCTTATTGCCTAGTAAATTACAAGCGTTTTAGGAGATGTGTGCCAGGACAGGACGAAGACTAAATATATATATATATTTCTTATTATAAATCCCAATATCACAGATGCCCTTCCTTCCTCCTCTTTACTGGCTCTTCATGGCCCACCTCCAGGCCCTTCACCTGGGTCCTGACAGGTGAAACCCCAGCTCCCTGCTGCATTTTCCCCATCTACATAAACTTATGGGACTTAACCCTCAGAGGCAACGTAGTCCTTCAACTCACAGAGGAAAATAAGGCCAGAGGAAGCAGTCACATGCCCAAGATCACACAGTACCTCAGAGGTTCAGCCAGCATCAGGCCCAGATTTGTACTTCTGCCACACTGCCACACTGCCTATAGAGATCTACATTTTCTAAAGCAGACAGTGTTACACCAAGGTCCCTCAATCCCCGCTGTCACCTCTGGACATGTTCTAGCCACCCAACACTCTTCCTCTTCCTCTACACCAAACTCCTACTCATCTATCAAGACTCAGCTTAAATATCCTTTCACCCAAGACCCTTTCTAGACCCTCAACACCCCTAAGATGGGAGTAGGTGCTTCTTTGTGTTCTCACAGCTTCTTTGCACTTCCCTTATCCAGGATATTATAAGCTGTTTAATCAGGATAGCATAACCTTCTGCACTTTGACAGTGAACATCATCCAGGTGAGAAGTACGTCTGTCTTGAAGACCATGGTGCCTTCTGCCCTCAGCACAGAAAAACTAATTGAATGGAAGGAGAGTGTTACCTACTCTTCACTCATTTAAGGGAGTCAGTCACTCCCACTCTTAACCTAAGACCTCTCCCCAAAAGCAAAGAAAGAGCCACGACCTTCTTCTAGGCCTCCTTCTAGGTGGTAGGGCAGTAGGAGGGAGGGCCAGGAAACCTGCGGAGAAAGTGGCCGGATGGAAGACTGAATGCCAGGGTTCTAGGCCCCTTCTGTGCCGGGTCCTGGGGCCAGAGAAAGCAGTCAGACAGGCCGACCTTTGCCCTCCACAAAACTCGCAGAGTCTGCTCTGTGACCTTGGCGTAGTCCTGATCCAGAACCCGAATTTCTTTGTCCCAAAACAACGATGACATCTGCTTTCCTTACTGAAGAGAGGAAAGCCACAAGCTTTCAGAAAAGACGCACTTCCTAAATGTCGATTACTGACTCCTGCCGGGACGCGCTTTGTGCCCTGGGGTGGTCCCTGCTCTGGCCTGGGCTTCTCTTTCCCGATCTGTAACAGGATCCTGTTGACCTGCGTAACCTCATGAGCCCGACCCCTAACTCGGTTACCTCTGCCTGCACGGCCGAACCTCTCAGCCCGGCTCGCCCCTGGCCAAAAGGGAACGTGCCCTGGCCTCCCTCACCTGTCGGGGGTGCGTAGGCCCGGGCTTGGGTCGGGGGGTTTGGCGCCGGCCTCACGGAGGCGATGAGGCCACGCCGGGGCCCGTTCAGGAGGCGGCGCCCCTCGTCCCGCAGCCGGAGGCAGGTCCTCCACATCGCGCCCGAGGGCCTGGGAGGACGACAGGCGCGAAACCTGAGAGCAGGAAACAGAGCGAAGGGATCCGCACGCTCCGGCTGTACGGAAACCTCTCACTGCCTCCCCCAAAACCCTCAGCCTGCCCTGGACGCCGCCATCTTCCGCATGACACCAACGGCGCGCCGTCGCTCGCGCGCGCACACCCCCAGTCAATCAGCATCACAAACGCACCTCGCCCCGCCCCCTCCACGCCGCGTCTCGGGAAGAAGACTACAAGTCCCAGAGGGCCCCTCGCGCATCTCGCCACGTGTTTTCTACACCCGCCAATGGGTGGAAGCGCCGCGTGAGCCTGCTCCCGCCCCCCCGGCGCGCTCGAGCCAATTGGAGGGGGTGGTGTGTGTGCGAGGGCAAGTGGGGAGGGGGACTCGGCTCAGGACCGGGAGGGCCTGCTAGCAGGTCCCGGGGTCCTGGTGGCGGCCGGAGCGCTTGGTCCGCAGGCAGCGGGCGGGTGGTTCCCCCCCTCCCGCCCCAGCCCCACGCGCGCGCGCCCCGGCCCCTCCCTCCCTGCCACCCTCCTCGGCTCCCGCGCGCCGGCGGCGGTTCCTCTCCCCTCCCCCCAGCCCTGGCTCCGGGGGACCCCGCGATGCCGGTCCGCACCGAGTGTCCCCCGCCGGCCGGTGCCTCGGCCGCCTCCGCGGCCTCGCTCATCCCGCCGCCGCCCATCAACACCCAGCAGCCCGGCGTGGCCACCAGCCTGCTTTACAGCGGCTCCAAGTTCCGCGGCCACCAGAAGAGCAAGGGGAACTCGTACGACGTAGAGGTGGTGCTGCAGGTGAGCGCCGGGCCGGGCCGGGCCCGAGGGCCTCCTCGCGGCGCTCGCGGGCCGTGCCCGCCCCCGGCTCCTCGAGCCCGCAGCCGCGGACCAGGCCCTCGCCACCGGGCCTCCCGCACCCGGCGCTTCACCCCCGGGACCTGCCCAGCTGGTGTCTCACACGCTTCGAACCCCAACCCTGACCTGCCCCCTCACACCCGGAGCCTGTCGTGAGCAGCTCCTGGCAGACCCTGAACACTGTCCCAGACATGAAGCCCGTGACCGGCCCGCCTGGGATCCGGAAGCCCCTTATGACTCGCCACCCTCAGAGCAGGATCCTTCCTCTCCATGACCTGTCGCCCAAAGATCGGCCCTCCCTCGTTCCCTCTCAGATCTTGAGGAGCTCTCCTCTGATTTCTCCTGACTCGGGACCCTCCCCATGGCTAGGCCCATGTCTGATTCTCCCAGACCTGAGACATGCCTCCTTGCCGCCTTTCCTCCGTCCCAGGAATCCTCAGGCTCTGGGGCCCTCCTCCTCCTAGGGTTTCGTCTTTGGGACGAAGCTTAATCAGCCCCTTCAGATCTGGGAGCACCCAACTCCCTTTAGCCCCTGAGAGCCCACAACCCACAACTGATTCCTGGCTCGTGCCCCCCCCCCCCCAACACCAGGCACTCACATCCTGGGTGCTGCTGGGAGGGCCTCCTCACAGTATGTTAGGTCTTGTGTCATGGGACCCCCTACTGCTCCAGTCTCTTCCTGGCTGGGACACCCAGGCCTCCTGCCCCAGGCTTCTCATACTCCTTACCCCTCTTTGGCCACTTCCAGTCTGCTCCCAGTCTCCCTGGCCTGCCTACCCAGATCTTCCCACCCCATGCCTTCATCTTCCTCCTTTCTTGGCACCAGGGGACCCTCTTTCCCTGTTCTTAACCCTTACCTACACAGCCAGGCTTCCTGCCAGTCTCTGATACCCATGTACTGGAAATCTAACTCACCCAGTTTTAGTTCTCACATGGATAGTTCCTTCTCATGTCTATCCACCTCCCCCGATTTGACCTGGATCTCTGAGTGTCTGCTGCCAGCCCCTGATAGCTTTGGAACTACAGCTTCACCTGCCCTGGCCCTTTCCTGCACCTCATCCCTCTCATGCAAGTGGTAACACATTTGGCATTTTTTCCCCAGCCAAAGGAGATGGGCAGTGGTTAATGCTCCTTTTTCTCTCCCTTCCTTACAAAACTGTTCCTCCTTTCTACCTACCCTTGCCTGCCTTAGGACCCACTTCCCCCCTCCCTCTGCGCCTTTATCCTTAGCCTGACACCCCATCTCCTAGGCTGTTCCCAGAAGCCCGTCCTAACAGCTGTCCCCTTGAAAGGCCTTACAGAAGCTTTGAGGTCCTACTCTGCTGCCTTACTGCTCCCATGTGAGGACAGAATGTAGGATGTGTCTTTTCCTTAGGCTTGCCCTTTGCTCTTTTGAAGTTTTAAATCTTAACGTCTCTTCTGAACAAGTAGATCTTCCACCCAAAAGACTGAGAGCATTTTCTTATTGCTAACTGCAGAGCATTGATCACCCTCTCTTTTCTTACTGTTTTGTTGGAATAAATATTTTTCTCTTTTTTTGACTGGGAAAACTACATCTTCATGTTAATTGTGTCTTTGGTTTGTAAACTTACACTTCTGTTATGAGCCATGATATTTATTGTAAGTGAAAAACTATTGTGACTGAGGTATTTCTGTCTTCGTAATTATATGCCTCACGTGGTGATCCCCCATCCCTTTTGCTTAAAATGTGAGAATTTCGTATGAAAGTACAGGATTTTTTTTTTTTCAAGTAATTATAAAATTCTGCAAGTGAGATCCCTGGTGTGGTCGTGTTTGGAATGATCTTGAATTTGTGCCCATTGTTAAATTTGATGGTTTCTGATGTGGTTGGGGGACAACTGGCAGGGTAGCTAAGTGTCAGAGAGAAGGCTGCTCTGGTTACTGTGGCAACTGCTGTCATTAGTGTGTTGTTTCTGAATTCCTGTCAGGTGCCAGTTTCCTTGTGAGCCAGTGGAAGCGGTGATTGAGTTGGTGCACGATTGCTATGTCTCAGGGCAGCCCAGAGCAGACACCTGGCGATGGCTGGAAGCCACTTGAGTAGGATGTCTGTGGGGGGGTGGGGGGGTGGTCCTGCCCAGGAATGCTGCCCTGCATCTGGATTGGTGAGCTGTTTGTCAGTCATTGAAACAAGTCAGTGGCATGTGAATTGCCCCATCATCTGGTTTTTCAGCCAGGACTAGTTTCTTGGACTCTACCTTCCTAGAATACTTCTGCCTTTTATAACTCAGCCTCTTTCAAGCTTGCTTTTTTTAATATCAGCTTAATTGAGTTATAATTCACATACCATAGAATTCACCCATTTAAGGAGTACAATTCAGTAGTTTTTAGTATATCCACAGAGTTGTGAAACCATCACTGCAATCTAATTTTAGAACACTTTCATCACCCCGAAAAGAAATCTTATACCCCTTAGCCATCACCCCCCTCCAACTGTATGCAACCACTGATTTTTTTGTCCTAAGATTTGCTTATTCTGGACATTTCATGTAAATGGAATCATACAATATGTGACCTTTTTTGTCTAGCTTCTTTCACTGAGTATAATGTTTTTAAGGTTCAACCCATGTCACAGCATGTGTCAATGCTTCATTCCTTTTTATTGTTGCGTAATAGTCCATTGTGTGGATATATGACATTTTTTTTTATCCATTGCTCAGTTGATGGATATTTGGGTTGTTTCCAATTGTTGGCTCTTATGAATAATGCTGCTGTGAGCATCCATGTACAAGTTTTTGAGTGGACAAATGTCTTCAATTCACTTGTGTTATACCTAGGAGTAGAATGGTGGGTCATATGGTAACTATGTCTAACATTTTGAGGAACTGCCAGACTGATTTCCAAAGTGGCTGCACCATTTTACATTCCCACTAGCAGTGTCTGAGGGTTCCAGTTTCTCCACATCCTCCTCCACACTTGCATTGTCCGTCTTTTTGTGTGTGTGTGTGTGTGTGTGAGGAAGATCAGCCCTGAGCTAACATCTGATGCCAATCCTCCCCCTTTTTGCTGAGAAAGATTGGCCCTGGGCTAACTTCCATGCCCACCTTCCCTTACTTTATATGGGACGCCGCCACAGCATGGCTTGACAAGCGGTCTGTGTGTCCACGCCCGGGATCCGAACCTGTGAACCCCGGGCCGCCAAAGTGGAGCGCGCACACTTAACCACTGTGCCACCGGGCCGGCCCCTTGTTCATCTTTTTGGTTGTAGCCATCCTGGTGGGTGTGAAGTGGTATCTCACTGTGGTTTTGATTTGAATTTCCCTAATGACTAATGATATGTTGCTCATCTTTTCATGTGCTTTTTGGAGCACTTTCTTTTTTAGAGATTTCAGTTTGAAGAGTTCCTCAAACCTTTGTGAGATTCTGACGGGGTTTTTGTTGTTGTTGTTATTACTGTGACTGTTCTGTTTCTCCTCTGCCATGCAGGAAGCCAAGAGTGAAGTGAAGGCCAGGGTCACTGTGAAAGAAATATTAAAAAGAGCAGCTGTTGGACACAGCTGTGCTGTGAAACCTTCTTTGCTAAACATTTGCCTTGTTCTCTTTCTTGTGGAGATGCTGGCCTGTCGTTTGGTTAAAGCTCTCTGGGTTGTGGTGTATTTGAGTTCACCAGTCGTCATCAGGATCAGTTTGGGCAGAATGAGCGAGACGCGTGGTTGAACAGAGGCCAGACTGAAATTCTGGTTCTTGAGCATGTGATAATCCAGGCAAAGTGTTAGCCAGTTTACAGTTCAGTTTTTAATCTCATTAGCAGATACCCTTGCCACCTGATGCCCTTTCCAGCAGCTGTGAGACCCCAGACTGTATTGAATTCAGTGAGAACTGCATACATGAAGTTTGAGGACTCAGGTTAGAGCTGTGTGTCCTCTTAAAAGATCTTGGCTGAGCCACGTTAGTGCGGATCAGCTGCCTTAGGCAATGTCCAGTGCCAGGGTCAGCAGACGCTCTTGCAGTTTTCATGTGGAATACTGTTGTCACCAGCACCGAGCTGGGAGCACTTCAGCCTCATTGAAGCCCGCTGGCTGCGGTGCTGACCTCGCCTGGCTGACTGAGTTCATTACAGTTTTGGGGGATTGCCTTAGTATTTGATTTATGGTGTAACTGGAAATAGTAGATCCCTGAATCTGATAAATTCCACAAAATTTTTCTAATTTCTTAAAGTGAGACCTCACTTAACATTAAAATCTCACTGTGCTACAGTACCACTGTACTTTGTTTTGCTTTAATTCCAGGAGTTTACTTTGTAAGTTAATCCCATCGTCATGAAATCTGAAAATCTGCCTATTCAGGATGAGTCTCTATAAATTTGGGTGAAATGTACTAGCTAGTCTGCGTTCAGCTGCCAGTAACCATACCCATTTCAAAATAGCTTAAAGAATAAGTGAACTTCTTATCTCACATTACAAGAAGTTTAGAGAGGGCTTCCTTCCAGATTGGCTCATTCAGAGGCATGTTTCCTTCTGTCTTTCTGTGCTGCCATCCTTGGCATTTCCCGGCCTGTTTCTCCTCATGATCCCTAGATGGCTGCCACGGGACTGGGCACTGTGTGCGGATATTGCCACCAGCAGGGGAAGGAAAAGAGCCCCTTCAAAAGCCAGAATCTTCCCCAGAGGCACCCAGGAGACTTACACACTCATCTAATTGGCCAGAACTGGGTCACTCAGCCCTAAACCAGTGACTCGCAAGGGGACGGGGGCACACGTTTGCCTTGGATCCATCAGGGTTGACCAGGTCTTGCAGGGGCAGGGTAGGTGCCAGAACAACATCTGGGACCTGACGGTGTGGAAAAGTAGGAAACTGGTTGTTGGGTAGGCATCTGGCAGTGTCTCAGCAACCAGTAATTAATGACTGCTAAACCTCAAAACCTATGCCTGTTACCCCCATTTGTTTTAGGCTCCTCTTTTTGTCAAGAAATACAGGCCTCCGTATATGATGTGGGCAGAGTGAGCATTTACAATATATTCAGATTTGGGGTCAGCATTTTGGTTCATAACTGAAATTTATACTCTATACATCTTTGTAAGATGCCTTTCCTGAATATTCTGCACATTTCATAAAGAAATAATGCAGGATGGTTCGTAGTGTAAATATAGAGGAGGAGTAGACTTGCTAGACCAGTGATGGAGCAGCATACAATTAGGCTAGAAAGACACTAGAAAACCAGTGAACCCCAGGTTAGGGATGACACCACGTGTACAGGCAGAAGCAGAGGGCTAGTGCCCAGCAACACACAAAGTCTGTAGACCAACGAGAGACTTGCGTGGAAGGCAGTCCTGAAATGAGGTTTGAGTGGGCTCGCTGTTCCAGAAAGGTGCTTCAGTCTCAAGATATTCGCTGCAGCAAGTTGAGAGTGTCCTGGGATCAGTTTGCTTCATCAGAACAGGCATGTGGATGGGGAGGACTCACGAAGGTCTCAGGCCAGTGAGCCCCAGGCTGCACTGTGCATGCGCTGGCCTCCAGGCCTCCCTTACCCCGCCTAGCCCTGCAGGCGCCTTTGACCGATGGATGATGGATGCGGGGATCTCCAGAGTCCCTCCAGCTTGTTTCCTGGTGGTTCCTCCGTTTGTAACGAGGCTGTGTGTCCTTTCTTTCCAGCACGTGGACACTGGGAACTCTTACCTTTGTGGGTACCTGAAGATTAAAGGCCTTACTGAGGTAAGCACTCCTGCAGATGAACCAGAACTGGCAAGTGGACCGCACGCTCAGCAGTGTCCGAGTGTGAAGGGCAGGCGATCTCACCTCTTTGAGGCCTGGTTACAGCACCTGGTCTCAGTGTTGCAAACACCAAGCAGGCAGCTTTGATGCGTCCTGTTGGAAAGTACACAGATTCACAGATCTGTAAAGAAAAGTTTGTGAGTAAGTCATAATGTGACAGTTAATTTTATTTTCAATCCTTTTTGAGAAAAAAAAATATAGTAAGAATATAGCTACCACACTCATCTTAAGTTGAACAATTTCTGGGATAAGCATCAATTGCTCGAGAACGGAGGTCTTGGAAGTTCTCTAAACCCCTGAGTTCACTGGCATAATGAAAAGTGATCATCCTGTTTCTCCTGTTTCTAACAGAAGTAGCTACTGTGTAAAGCAGAGTGTTTTCCTTTCTTTGAACCAAGTTTTTAAACTCCTGGAAATACGGAAAGCAAGAAAGAGCATTCTTTCTTTTCCCACGAGTGAATAAACAGGAAGAGGAAGGAGGCGACTAAACTGGCTGCCTCACTCCGCAGTGAGGGCCTGGTCTAGACCAGGCTGCAGCGTCCTGTTGGCCTTTGCAGCTCTCCCTGTCTTTATAGCCCAGCAGTGTCTGGAAAGGCTGCCTGGAGAGTGGTGACATTCTCGCTCTGGAACCCCTACTGGTTCCGTGACCTTTCATTTCTCTTCATTTCAGTTTCCCCATCTGTAAAATGAGAATTAAAAATGCCTGCTCCGTCTACTCGAGGGGCTTGACCTAGTGGGGAGGAAACAATGTAAGAGTAAGTGGTAGACTATACTGTGATACAAATATGGGATACCAACTAAGGCCCTGGTTATCCTCCATCTTGAAACAATTGTTTCGGTCTCCTTGGTTCCGTCTGGCTCTTCTAGTTCTCTGCTAGAAGTTTGAGAATTTCCTATGAAGTGTGCTGTTGAGACAAAAAGGTCTCTCTTCCTCACCTCTAGAAACACATCTAATCAAGTAGGGGTAGAAGATGAAAGCCAAATGAAGGGCTCTAACCTTTTAATTTGTGGTAGTTGAAAACATATAGTAAAGAGAATAGCTCAACTCTTAGGCAGCCAAATGTATTTATTAATTCAGTGCAGAACATAAACATTTAACTTCTTAAGGAAACCAGCAGAATTTGATATGTGGAATGTTAGCACCAACTCCAAGACCAGTCATTCTGGTCGTAGGGAGCCACGCGGAAATGGTAAGGAGCACTAAAAGTCCTGAAACCGAGTACAGAAGTGCACTGAACTTGCCATCGGGAGCAAGTGACCCTTACGGGGGGAGGCCCCTCTGAGTCCTGAACAGCCAGGCTCCCATGGAGGCGGGGGGAGGTGCTGGCATGGCCCTTCACTGGGGGCCAGCCCAGGGGGACTTAGGCTCATGACTAGAATGCGGAGACCATCCCTCCTGGCCAGTCCTTCCTGCCTGCACATGGGATGGCCTCATGAGCACACGGCCTCCCCAGGGTGGTCTGCTCCAGGTCGAGCAGTGGACGCAGCATTTAGTTAGAGAAAGGCTGATGTGTTTCCTGAGGTTCCTAAGTCCTGCTCAAGCCTCAGATTCTTTGAATTCATCTTTTTAAAAATCTTTTTTTAGTCGCTTTACTGAAATAATAGTTCCCATACCATACAATTCACTTATTTAGAATGTACAATGCATTGGCTTTTAGTATAGACGTGGCGTTGTACGACTACATAATAACTTTTTAAGTTACAGGTTATAACTCTATATTAAATTATAAATCTAATAAATGGTCACTGTAGATCATCAGTAGAGTGCAGAAAAGGGTGACAATTCTTTGCATGATTTTACACCTGTATTAAAATACAGTTATCTATTTTTGTTTGCTTTCCCATTTATAGTTGTCAAATATCAAATATATAATTTATTCTAATAAAACTGTTTAAATGGTTTGGATTTTAGTCGTAGTCTTCCTCATGTATACAGTATGGAAAATTATTAAATTGGAGATAATGTACCTCTTAGCTCCCTCACATTCACACATAAGCACAGCTTTAAAGTGTGTGTGTTTCTGAAAATGAAATCCCAGAATCGTGAAGAATAGGTGTCCAATAAATTCTCTTTGCAGTTGTGAGCCAGCGACCAGTAGGGAGAGGGACTGTCCCTAGGGAGGCCCCCCGCAGCTGGCACGGGGCCTGGGAGCCCAGCCTTGGGGGGCATCACAGCCAGGCCCTCCACTCACTCACTGGACGGATTTGCAGGGTTTGGAAGCTCCCGCTGAGGTTGTGCTAGACTTGCTCGGAACCAGGGAGACAGGTCCCACTAACCCAACTCATAAGAGACTGATGCGTGGACAAGAGTGCTCGTTGACTCACTATGAAACAAAGTATGCGCATGTTCCGGAAGTTCTCTCTGACTTACTGGCCAATTGAATGTTAATCTCCCAGAAGGCAAGTCTATGTAGAAAGCCAGACTCATGAGACAGTTTTTGGTGGGCCTGTAGTCTGTGAGGGGAGTGGGTTGGGCAGCCTCAATGCCTGGCAGCAGCCGGACCCCCCATAGGAAGCCCATGCCTACCTGGGGGCTGGTGCTGGCTCTGCCTCTCCCTCTTGACTCCGTTTTCTGGTATCTCTCCTTCCACTGAAAAAGAGTTTTTTCTTTGACTCTATAAATTACCCACAGTTTGGCTATAGTCAACTGTTTGAATTTCCTGGTCCTGCACTGAGACATATTTTGTCTTTTTAGTGACTTCTGTACATACTGACTCTCATTCATTATTTATTTTATTTAATTCTCAGAGTTTGGTGAGAATTAAACAGTATATCAGGTGACTTTGTAGCACCCTGATATATTGCCTAAAACGTTTTTTAAAGAGAAGCCAGTGCAGAATCATGCATTAGGAAAACTAGTGATTTGAACCATATTTCCTTCTATTTAATGGGACAACTGTATCATTTTGTTCTTCTCTCTCTTTGTGGAAGTGTTGAAAAAATATTAAAGTTCAAAACTCAGAAAAGCAATATAAATAGCTTTTAATTTAAAATCTCAAGTCAGGTGCTAACTTATATAGATCTTTTTTCCTTAATAGTCCTGCCTAAGACAGATGAGTGTAATTTAGTTTATACCTTAAAAATCGGTTTTCTTTTTTTTTTTTTTTTTTTTACAAATTTTAAAGATTTTATTTTTTGCCCCCAAAGCCCCAGTAGATAGTTGTATGTCATAGCTGCACACCCTTCTAGTTGCTGTATGTGGGACTCGGCCCCAGGATGGACAGAGAAGTGGTGCCTCAACGCGCACCCGGGATCCGAACCCGGGCCGCCAGCATCGCAGCGCACGCACTTAACCACCAAGCCACGGGGCCGGCCAAAAAAAAATCGGTTTTCTATTTAGGAAATTTTCTTCTCTTTGACTTCTTCACACTTTGTGTGTAAATATCTGTGTGAGGAACCCAGTGCCAGTGCTGCAGTGGAGGTTGTGGATTTGGGGGGTGTTGAAGGTATAGTATTTCCGAGTCCACTGGTAATGGAACTAACGCCCCCAGCGGAGTGTCATCGAGCGGGCCTGCCCAGTCACTGCAGTGGTGGCAGCGATGTCACCTCCTGGGTTTTGCTGTAGCATCCTCTCAGGAAGGTCCCGAGCGCATGGCCCGCCAAGCTGGGAGAATTGGCAAAGCTATCAGAACAGATTTATTTTAAACCTGTAGATAGTTAATGCAAAACAAGAGGGGCTAACAGAGGGTCTGAAGACAAAAGTGGGACCTCTGTGGTCCTGGGGACATTAGGACTGTCATCCGTGGCTTGTCAGGCATGGCCGTCATTGTTGTGCTCCCGAGAAACACCAGAGCTGGCAGGCTGGGCTGAGGGGTCATTTGTTGGTTGGTTGGTTGGTTTTTACAAATGTAGAGAAATGGTAGACTTTTTTCAGTGTTAACTTTCTTCCATTAATTTTTTCCAAATCCTTGCTGCCTCATTATTAGCAGATGAACAAATAGCAAATAAAATTAACAGGAGTCTTCTAAGCACCCAATTAGTATGACAGCTTATTTGTTTTTTCAACAGTGTGTTTTTTTATGGTTGTGGTTTTCTACTGCAGACCTGATTTACGTATATTTTCCCTATTTTAAATTGTCTTAGTTCATATGATAGAATTAAAGGTATCCCTAATATATCAACGTATTCTACAAAAAAATCCACACCTGGAAACTTGAAGAATTGGTGTAAAAGGGACAAACCACTGAGCTAGTCTGAGAAGCGATGGGCCAGGCCATGGCCGGAGGGAGACTTAGCTGTGAACGCTATGATTTTAGAGACTCGTTGGGTGTTTTTCTTGGAAAGTAAAATCTGCTAAATTACCATCTGCTTTGTGTGCTGGGATATTCAGAATTTGCTTGTAGGAATCGTCTGAGTTCTTTTCTAGAGATCAACACATAGCAAGTGAAGCCACAGAAGGGTTCTCTGCTTCTGGCAAAGTCCCTGAAGTCTGAGAGACCGCCCTCTGGGCACCTTCAGTTCAGGTTCAGTCCACAGCCCTCAGCACGTCCCTGGACCTGACTCTGGTTTGGGTTGTTGCTTAGTAGTGTGATGGTTTTTGTCAAAGTGTTGGGAAGAAGTTAAAGCAAGGTTGGTTCTTCATTTGCATAAGGTTAAAACTCCTATTCAACATCTTGTTTTGATATTTGGGTTTTTACCATAGGAGTATCCAACCCTTACAACCTTCTTTGAAGGAGAAATAATCAGCAAAAAACACCCTTTCTTAACTCGAAAGTGGGATGCGGATGAAGATGTTGACCGGAAGCACTGGGTGAGTAAGTCTCTGCTCTGGGCCCCCCGGGACTGCTAAGAGCTGAGGAACTTAGTTCTCAGGATCTCATCACCATCCCCCACCCTGTCTACCTGTCTGTCCATCTCCTGTCCACTGTTCCCTTGTGATCTCCTGTACTAGGGGAAGCCCTGTGAAACATACAGTAATGGCCTCTGACTTGAGGGTTGGGTGAGATACGGTTCCTGGAAACCTGCCCCTCCCATTGGCTTATCCATGTGGGCTACCCCACAGGGGGCTTCTCATCCTAGCTCCTGATAGACAAGACACAGTCTTCACTTAAGAACTGTCAGGATGCCACTGAAGAGGCCAGCCCCTCACCTTTTAACTATCCAGGGTGGAGCATGTTCTCATTCACCAGCAATGAACACTTCAGGACTCTAACTCCAAGTTAGAGTTACTGTCCTCAAATCTTTTCACTGGTTGTCACACAAGTCTTGTGTCTTCAAAATCCATTTCTCAGCCTATCGTAATAGCCTTTTGGCTTAGTTGACCAGGGCAATGATGATTTTTGTTTAACACCAAGAAAGTGCAGTGTGCTCACCCTCTAAACCAACTAAAAACAACTGTGTCAGTAATGAAGATTCTGAAGCTCCTCATTCTTCCCACTGCCACTCACACTGGCATGGGTCTCCTGGTTTCTGACACAACAGTACTTGGAGAGAATCCTACTGCAGACTCTCGTCTGAGTTAACTTCACTATAGATTAGCTGCTTTGTTTATTAATGTTTCTTACTTGAGTTAGGAAAGGAATATCTATCAAATGCTGAGTTTCAATTAAATTTAAACTTGAGCTTTTTAGAACATTTTTTGAAAGCTACATATTTTGATTGTTATAGCAAATAGACACTAAAAGTTAGACAGTCATTTGTGTCTCTATAATATGGGAGAACGAACAAGATCCTAGTATCCAGATGGTACGAGGAGCCCGAGTGGCGCACAGTGCCACCGGCGTCAGGAGGCCGAGTTGGAGGGCTCCTTGGTGCCGTCTGGTCCCAGCCTGCCTGATGCCCTGTCTTCTTCCGTGGTGCCGCCTCACAAGATGGCCCTTCTTCTGCTGGTCAGCCCCAAAGAGAAGGATCTTCCTGGTAGTGAACCACAGCCTGTCTCCCATTCAACTCTGTTTTCCATATCAGATTGGTCCTGCAAAAACCAAGGACTTTGAGCCCAGTGAAAACCCAGTTTTAGGCTAGGTTGGCTGCAAATTAAATACTAAGAAAGCAACTCTTAATTTTCTCATTGACTTCCTTTAGAACACTGGGAAATGTCTGGGATTCCAGGCTTTGTTAGACTGGGGTGAAATATTTTGAGTGAAAGAGGGACTAGGAGGCCACCCTTGGCTCTGGTGCACTGAGCGAGGTGGGACAGAGGAGCTGGGCCCGCTGGCTGTTCCTCATCTCTGGCTTCCCCTGCAGTACTCCATGTTTCCCACAACTTTCCCGACCCACTAGGATTCCCAGATCCCCATACGGGGCTTCTGGAGCTCTGTGTTGTGCCATGGTTTGTCAGATTTACAGAGTCTGATAAACCTCACCGATGGCGTCGTTTTTCCGTTGTAAACTGGAATCAGAGACACTGTGTTTCACCCTCAGATTTTCCTGCATGATATTTAAAGTTGGTATTATGGTGGTACTATAAAGCCAGGAGTCCATACATTTAATGTTCTTAGATTATAATATCTAAGTGACAAATATCTATGTGACAAATTCTATGACAATATCTCTGTATCTTGATTTTTTAAGATGTTTTCTTATAAAATTAATACATGCTTATTTAAAAATATTTGAAAAAACAGAAAAGCAAAAGGAAAAAGAATTGTCTTTAATGAGAACACCTAAAGCTAACACAGGCACTAACCTTTTCCTGAATCTCTTTTGGATATATATATACTTTTGTGGGGGTACAAAAATGGGATCATAAAATATAGTTTTGTAACCCATTTCCGGTCTCCCTTTTTTATGTTAACCGTCTGTGGTTAACTCATGTCAGAGGACCCCGCTTTCCTAAAGCCGCTCTCCCCTGAGGCTCTGCGTGACCCTCTTTGCACTGTTGATTTACTTACAGACATCTTCTCGCTCATTTCTCAGCGTGGTCTGTTTGTGGTAAGGTGTTCTGACAGAAAGTCCCTGGAATTGTGTCCATTTCCATCCTACAGCCTTTTCTTTGGGCCACGTTAACCAGGCAGGCGTAGGCCAGTGGTGACTCGGCGGGAGTCCAGGAATCTGCCCCAGAGTCCAGGTCTGAGTTCACTGGGGGTGACCGAAGCCTCCCTTTCCAGTCGTGGCCTTCACTGCTCTTGTCAGCGCCGCGTCCACCGCCAGTCACACCTCTGCAAAGGTGGTTGACCTGAGCACAAAAGGGTGGTTCTGACCCCAGCCTCTCCGTCTGTTGATCAATTCTCATACTCTATTTTTTGCTTTTAGGGCAAGTTTCTGGCTTTTTATCAGTATGCAAAATCATTTAATTCAGATGATTTTGATTATGAAGAGCTGAAGAATGGGGATTATGTCTTCATGAGATGGAAGGTAAGGTCCCACCCCAAGGTGGTCTTCTGACTGTGCAGCTCCCGTAGTGTATCCCACTGCCCCCAGTCTGCTTCCTGCGTCCAGTGCTTATGACAGTTTACCCTTATGGCAGAGTCTTGACATACTCGTAAAAAGCAGGCACAGCTCCAGGGCTCATGGGTTAACTGCTGGCATCCCAGATGGTTTCTCTTTGGTTAACCTGTTTAGTGGTTAGCAGATGAATTCATGCCTGGGGGGTAGTCCCCTCGACTCGGTTGCTGTGTCTTCTCCGTTTCCTTTCTCCCACCCAAGAATCCCTTTGAGCCTCCAGGTTGAATCATCCCAAATGTTCTGTGGATTAAGGGGAAGCCCGACTGTCTCTGAACTCAGTCATCCTTTATCCCCTATTCTCAGCCATGGGCTGAGATGCCATTTAAGTGACTCTTCCCTCCACCACGTCCTTGCCCTTGGGCTCAGTCTTAGCAACTCTGGTTCCCTCCAGCTCAGGAAATGAGGGAGCAGTAATGGAATTTGGGTTTTCCCTGGCCCTCGGAGAGCTCCATCTGCATGGATTGGCATCGGGCTGAGGAGTTGTTTGTGCTCCCTGCTTTGATAGCACGATGGTGATGTGCTACAGCCACAAGAGAGCAGGTCATGAGCCAAGTTCGTTATATCACTCTGTGAACATACATCCACCTCCAAGCCATAGTCCCCAGTCCGTAGGAAAAACCTATTTTATCTTGAAATCTTGCCAGCTTTCCTACAGGCGAATTGTTTAGGGTACTAATTCCCAATCTTTACTTTGTATAGCTAATAATTCTGGGGGGTGGGCATCATCACTCTTTAAGTAGACAGTGGCCAGGTGCAGAATGTAAATGCTGAATCCTGCCCTCATGAGCTTGCCGTCTAATGGGAAATATGCCAGCTATATTTAGTTAAAGGAAGTTCCTGTTAAAGGAAGTATCTTGTAATGTTCTAATTTAAAAAATTACAGTTTCAGAGGTTGAGGAAGGAGAAGGAGAGCATCTAAAATGAAAAAACATGGAGTTATTTTGTCTCCAAAGAATTTCTTGGGTGACTCACCTTTGGGCTTTTAGTAGACCTCCTGGGGGCCCTGGGGCCTCTGACCTCATATCTCCAGGAGAGTAGGTGTGAGGATGTGGCCTTTCAACTCTTGGCACTAGCCGGAGATAACAAACTTGCCTGTCTCATAAGGTGCCCAATCAAGAACAGTACCGTTCTGATTGCTGCTGTTGAGGTGTAGAGCATTTTGAAGGGGGTGTTACAGGGGCTAGTGGTGATTGAGCTGCCCTCAGAATAATCCACAGGCCAACAGAAATGACCCACTGTTTTTGAGGTGATCAGGAAGCTAGTGACAGTTCCTGGGGGTGGAGCAGAAACTTACTTTTCCCAGGGCATTCTGTCTATGGGCTCAGAAAGGTAGGTAGGTATTGATTCATTTATGTGCTGTCTGGACCATAGTACTTTCCCTCAGTTGCTGACCCTAGGAGCTCAAGACAGTTTGCTGCGTTAGTATGTAGACTACTCGAGTGGCACGTGAATACTATTCACAAGTCAGGGTGAAACACAGAGGTTTGCCATCTCCCAGCAAGTCTGGGCTGGACCGTGTGGCAGTGGAACCTTAGAACCACCTGAAGGTTACCTAGGAGGCCCCAGAGGTGGTTGGGGCACAGCTCTGTTACTGATGCCCTCCATCTGTGTGCAGGAACAGTTCCTGGTCCCAGACCACACGATCAAAGACATCAGCGGTGCTTCCTTTGCCGGGTTCTACTACATCTGCTTCCAGAAGTCGGCAGCCTCCATAGAGGGCTACTATTACCATAGGAGTTCAGAATGGTAAGGAAACCCGAGGCCACAGTGGAGGCTTACTGGCCCGGCTCTCCCTTGGCTCACCAAATCCAAAAGAATATCTCTCCGCTTGTCTCTGCATAGACCTCATGCTCTGTTTGGATGCTGAGGGCATCTTGATCTTAGTTGTTCCTAGTAGGGGCTCATCCCTGTCCACAGAGCAAACGAGGTGAAAACGGAGTACCAGGTAAAGGAACTCGCTGCTGCATGCTTTCAAGCAGTACTACATTGCAGGGATGTTTATCTCAGTCTTGCTGGTTTTGTATTTATTTATTCCTCCCACATTTAGTCAGTAACTAAAATATAAGATCTCACTGTGGACAGTGTGAATTCTGCTGTCGGCAGCCTTTTTAATTTTGTGATCACATTCCTTAGACGCTGATCCCACATGCACTTGATTTCAGTCTGCCAACCTAGGGGCCTGTGGGGGTTGACAGTCCTGCCCTGTGTTTCACCCGAGGTGAAGGACTGAATGCCACCTCAGGTGCTAGCCTTTGTCACCTTTCGGGGGGACTCTCCTGCCCCCTTGCTGCTTCTTTAATCACGTTGCTTCAGCTGAAGTGTAGACCATACCATAGAACACCTGATTTCCTCTCTGAATGTGGAAACACTTTCTTTTCTTTCACATTTTTCACACTTTGGTGACTTGTGAATGATGCTACTCTGGGTTGACTCAAATTCCTTGTTCAGTGGCAGCAAAATGATACCTGCAAGCAAATGCCCTGGGGCTCATGGTTCTCAGCTCCTCTGAGAGCCACACTTATTAGGGTTTCAGTCGTTGTTCTGTTTTCAAATGAGTTTTAAAAACTTTTCATATCCTTTTTAAAATAACAGCTTTATTGAGATATAATTGACATACCACACAATTCACTCATTTAAAGTGTACAAGTCAGTGGGCTTTAGTCTATTCAGAGTTGTGCAGCCATCACCGCAAACGATTGTAGAACATTTTCATCACCCCAAAAGGAAACTGTCACCCCAAACTCCCCATCCCCTCCCAGCCCTAGGCAGCCACAGATCTCCTTTCTCTGTGCATAGATTTGCCTGTTCTGAATATTTTATATAAATTGAATCATACACTGTGTGGCCTTTGTGTCTGGCTTCTTTCACGTAGCATAGTGTTTTGAAGGTTCTGCTGGAAGAAGTGGGATATACCTGTGTTGGCCATGAAGCTCTGAGGCTACTCCAGCCTGATGTCACAGAGGGAGCTGTGATGCCATGCGTTGGAGAGATGCAGAGTCGGGGGGGGGAGGGGGAGGCCAGGGCTTTGGGCTGCGTCTTCTCCCAGAGCTTACTCAGCCTCTGTCTTATAAGACATACTATGATTGCTTCATGCTTAGAGCACAAGGCCTAAAAACAGCTCATCTTCTGCGTAGTTCGGGAGGAATAACCAAACAAAGAGAAATAAAACCAAACTCAGTTCACCTGAAGAAGTCTGAGATGACTGCATTCCAGTCTAAGTGTGTGGTTTGTGGGTGCTAAGGTTGTGGGGAGTTTTTTGACATCCTTTGTTCGGTTTCCAGGCTGCTTAGATGACGGCCTCCCGTCTCTGTCTTTCCCCGCTGCAGGTATCAGTCGCTCAATCTAACTCATGTTCCTGAACACAGCGCACCCATCTATGAATTCCGGTGACAGCGGCTCAGAACAGCAACCAAATAAAACTGAACTTGGCAAAAAAGAGCTTTGCCAAGAAAATTGTGTACCTGCCAGAACCAGGAGAACGTGTGTTCCTGTTTCTTCACGAGCAGACTTGCATCAGAAAGCATGAATGTTAACCCACAGAATCCAAGGAGCATGGCCGACCAGCAGGGCATGGGGGGAGCGGCCTCCGTTCTTCCTCCCTCTCTGTGGCAGTTTGATCTTAACCTGTTTTTAAGCTACCTTAAATGCACTTTTCCTTCCTGCACAGCTAACTTCTGTATCACTGAAATGCCCACTCCTCCCTCCATCCCTGCCTCCGGCCGAGGAGAAGGTCCGCCCCCTGGTCACCCTTGGTCTTGGTGCTCGGGGTTCCCGCCCAGGCTCCCCGGCTTCCCCAGTGGCTCAGTCTGGTAGCTCAAGAGAAGGCAGAGCCCCAGCACGTGTGTGCCCCCAGAGCTCTGTGCAGGGAGTTGGCGAGCTGCAGCAGCTTCCGCCAGTGAAACGTGAGGTGGAGGCTCATTGCTGAACAGGGTCAGCTGGAGCTGCCCAGCCCTGTGATGTTCACGCCAAGCTAGTCAGCGGCTGGCAGGTTCCCTGGCCTGCCATCGGGGATCACCAAATGTAAGGCTTCCAGATCCCTGGCAGGAACAGATTCCAGTCATGCTTACTCAGCACGTTTGCTCCAAACTTTTGAACTTGAGGGCAATACTAAACTTAAAAAAAAAAAAGAGAGTTTTTTTATTACAAAATTATTTTTATGGTCCCTTTAACAAGGACCCTATGGCAAATGCACAATTATTCAGAATTACATTTTATCGTTTTCACATTGAAAACAGCAAATGTTGACTTAGTAATTTTTATATCTATATCTATATGTAAATGTATATTTAATCAACCAGCAGTTTGAAACTAGTCGTCCTGGTACAAAAGTTTTGCAGCATTGCGTAAATTATAGTGCTAAACATGAGAACTGTTTTTGGGGCCAGTTTAGCATTTGTACCTCCTCCTTTTGCTACTCAAAACAGCAGTGCTTCATGGCGACCTTTTCCATCAGGCAGAAGGGGCCGTTCTCCTAAGATGGCGACTCTGGAATGTTGGGACGGGAGGGGTGGGAACATGAACACGTCAGTAACTCAAGGCTCACGTGCCAAAGTGTGTGTGTGTGGTTTTGTTTTTGTTTTATTTTTTTAATGTTTAAATAGCTTAGTAGGTTGGCATCGGTTGTGACCTGCAGATACGAGCAGGGTTTTGAGGGGGATTGGCATTTTCTGATGGTTTACAAGATTTGCTCGGAATATAAGAGGGAAAGCTCTGACAACAAGACAGCATTATAACCCAGGGGAGCAAAACAAGCTGAAGGTTGCAAATCCACAGGTGTATAAGAAAACAAAACCCTTAGGTCTAGATGATGGTGGGAAAATCTTTTATTCTTAAAAAGTGACTTTTAATGATATATGTACTGTATGTTACTGAGATTGAATGTTAGGGGAAGCCTTAAAGGAGAAATATTTGGGGAAGTAGTCAGTGGGCCTTGGGACATCTAGGATGTGTCGTCCTCAGACTTGGTACAAAGGTGCGACCACCCCATCTGGTAAGGCCAAGGTCCTGGAACCCTAAAAAGTTGCCCTGGTGACTGCAGTGGAAATGGTTCACGTGCATTCCCAAAGAGGAGTCAGAAATGTTTTCTTGATTTTAAAGCTCTGAAAGGCAGCAGAATGGCTGGCTCTCGTCAAACCCAGCTCATTGCACAGTAAGAGACCACGCTCGCCTGGGCTCCCGTTTAGCTGACAGGTGTCACCTAGGAGGAAAGGAGACAATGGGACTGTGCTGGCTTTCTTTAGGCAGCACATGCCATTTCATTCACCTCAGTTCTCCTCTCATGGCCTGCTCATACATATCATCTGCATTTTGCAAGTTTCTTGAAGGATACAGGCCCCACTCAGAACACCCAGGGATGAGGTCGCCCCCAGGAGCTTGTCAGGTCCTCGTATGTGTAGCTCTGAGAGGTCGGTCAGTTGGTCGGTCGAGTGGGCAGGGAAGGACATTTGCAAACGTTGCTGGTGTTCAGCTAGCCAAATGGGCCAGGTTCTATGGTGGGATTTCCTCCTTTTTTAGCTAAGTAATGAAGTGCACCGGTTGTATTGGGGAAAATGAAGAAGTGGTACCTTGGCTAGATCTTTTGGGCACATCTGTGATGAAGATATTCGTGTAAAATTCTGCCCATTGAGGATAGGGAAGGGATTATTCCTCCACCTCTTAGTAACTCCCGAACAATTGACATCGACTCCTTCGCTTTCTCTCAGTTCCCAAAGGATCTTTGGGGATCATCCCATCTGTGATTATTCTTTCCTGAACCTTCTCTGGTTTACATGCATCTGGTACAGCGTGCAATATTTTTGGTTGACACTTGTATTCATCATTAAGAAATTAGTGCAGATTGCAGATTTTCTGCCGTCTTCCTCCACCCCAAACAAACCTGCCGTTAGGTGGGATCCTAGGGGTTTGGCTGTTCTTACTCCACTGCTCAGAAAGCTTCCATTCTGCAGCCACAGCCTCGTCTCTCTTCTGGGCTGGAATTTTCCCTTCCCACCCACCCGTCCTTTTAAACTTGACAGCATTTCAGCTGCAGTCCAAAAGTAACGAAGCAATGCCTAATACGAAGTAGCAAGTCCATCTGTGTGCTGGTTCTGTTGGTAATGTGGAAATCACAGACTCCCAGGGAGCAGAGGGGCTTTTCAATGTCTTTTGCTTTCAGAAACAGGGAATTTATATTCTCTATAAGGCCTTGAATTGATTTTTTTCCTCGTAAAATAGTCTGATAAGCTAATTTTTAAAAAGAAATGCCATTAAGTATGTTGCATTGTGGTTTTAAATTACTAACAAGTTCTGGGAAAGAAAAGTAATATTTGATTTTGAATCTTATGTGTTTTTAACAATTAGATTTGAATGGGGGCAAAGTATGAATATTTTGTTTCTTTAGGGAGGACATGTGGAAAGGGTTTGAGGGTTTGAGATGGGAGAAGTATTTTGCAGAGCTATCAATGTCCAAATAATTTTTAAAAAATAATAAAGGTATTTAAGCAGTGAGTTGGTCCTATTTCTAAATCAAAACCGTTCTGTTGGAAGAAACCAGCCGTCTTTCTGGCCTTGTGTCTATGGAGGTTTTCTGGCCACCCAAGGCCCAGAGACCCCTGTGGGCTGTGAATGGGCAAGGCCTGCTCCGGGGAACTGAGGCAGTGCCATGTCCTTGCTCCCTCCTAATTCCGGATGTGCTCAGCCACTCAGCACTTATATTTGACCTCCGTTTTGTTAATTTCTGTATTCAGAAATGTGGAAGCATTTTTTTGCATGTATGCAGGATTTATACTTTTATTTAATGCACAGAAAAAATGCAAACGGAGCTATCTGTTCCGTCTGCTTCGCAGTCTGGCACTGGCACAGGCGATGTGGACAGGGACTGGTCCTCAGAGGAAATTCCTGAACCCCGAAGCACCTCTGCTCCTGAGCGGAGGATCCGGGAGGGAGAACCCAGGCATCCCCCAGCTCCCTCCCTCTACAAAACCACCAGTAAATGCTGTCTTCAGCCATAAAAGTCCAGCAGTGTGAACAGTCTGTTCCTTTCTTGACACCACATCTCCAGAGAAAAGAGTTTAGTATTATTGTTTAAATGACATGAGATCAGATGATACTTTATACACATGGGCACCATGTGATACTGCACCATGCAGTATCAGGATCCTGCACCAGCAACATCCTGAAGGCAGACGTCAGCGGCAAGTTCTGGCCCTCGATTCCTCTGCACCTCGTGCCGAGCGCCCTAAGGCAGCCTGGCATGCTTGGTTCTGGTTTTGACAGACCACTGTGACTAGTGTGCCAGAACACCTTGGTCCTCTTGTTACAGTGTGACGTTCAGGTACCCCTCCCTAGTTAGCACCACGGAACACAGCTGGAAACACCATTTTAATTTTTGAGGAAATATTTATAGTATTGAAAAGGCTTAAATTTTGAGCAAGTTGAAATGCTAAGAGGATTTAATCAGTGTCAGGGCAAAGTGCCCATGTGTATAAAGTATCATCTGATCTCATGTCATTTAAACAATAATACTAAACTCTTTTCTCCGGAGATGTGGTGTCAAGAAAGGAACAGACTGTTCACACTGCTGGACTTTTATGGCTGAAGACAGCATTTACTGGTGGTTTTGTAGAGGGAGGGAGCTGGGGGATGCCTGGGTTCTCCCTCCCGGATCCACCTGTCAGTCCTAACATGACTTCTGGGCATCAGCCAGACTCTGAGCCCAAGTTTCCCCACCTGGAAAGTGGAGAGAACAACCTCTGCCTGGGCCAAGAATTATTGAGGATTCAACAGGGCTCCCCTTGAAAGCATTTTATAAACTGAAAAAATCCTCCACACGTATAAAACTATAAAATGTTCTTCTTGCTTGATGATAATGCTACAGAATATTTACTGAGGCTTACTACATGCACAGTTCCAGATGTTGGGGTGATGCAGAAACAAGCCATGCTCCCTGCCCTCAAGGAAGTAAGGGTCTGGAATAGAATGGAAATTGGCATTTTCTGATCCCCACAGCTAGCAAAAACCTCTTTCATGTCTCCAATATTAGATCCCCAATTTTAACCATTAGTTTGCTTTGCTTTTAAGCCATCCATAGAAATGGCAGAAAATGTGTAGACTGTGGGAAGTGTGAAACCCACATCAAGACAGGACGAAGTGGGGGCTGGCCCCGTGGCTTAGCGGTTAAGTGCGCGTGCTCCGCTGCTGGCAGCCCGGGTTCGGATCCCGGGCGCACACTGACGCACCGCTTCTCCGGCCATGCTGAGGCCGTGTCCCATATGCAGCAACTAGAAGGATGTGCAGCTATGACATACAACTATCTACTGGGGCTTTGGGGGGAAAAAAAATAAAATAAATCTTTAAAAAAAAAAAAAAGACATGGGCCGGCCCTGTGGCTTGGCGGTTAAGTGCGCGCGCTGCGATGCTGGCGGCCCGGGTTCGGATCCCGGGTGCGCATCGAGGCACCACTTCTCCGTTCATCCTGAGGCCGAGTCCCGCATACAGCAACTGGAAGGATGTGCAGCTACGACATACAACTATCCACTGGGGCTTTGGGGGGAAAAAATAAAATAAATAAAATCTTTAAAAAAAAAAAAAAAAAAGACAGGATGAAGGGGAGATTATAACTATCAGTGCTGTCCCCATTCATCTGAACTGCACCCAAGAAGGAAAGCATTAAAACTGCCCCGTAGTGAAACAGGCAGCTGGCTTCGACACATAGAAAAGTGCCTGAAAATTGGATTCCAATTGAGCAGGTTTTCCCTCGAGATTTTTTCATCTAAAGATTGAAGCTCCCTATTTGTACATAGCAGGAAAAACATGTCCGGCTTTTCATTTGTAGGGAAGCATATGCTGAAATTCAAGTTTATTTGGCCATTTTTTTCCTTCTGATGTTTCAGCTGGCCTTGTCATCTGCTGTGTTAGTTATCGTTCCTCTCCGTGATCGCTCAGTTAGTGGCCCTCCCTGCACACCTTCTCCAGCTGACCCTGACTTGGAGCTGTGCTTCTCAAACTTGTTGCGCATTAGGATCACCTGGGGTTATTTATCGCCCTTATGTCTGAGCACCCCAGCCCAGTTCTATCACAACCTCCTGCCTGCTGTCAAGTTCCCAGGTGATTCCAATCTGCAGGGAAGTTTATGTGATTAAGTGTGCCCTCCCCATCAAAATGAGAGAAAGGCTTTCAGGCCTGTGATGTTGGTTCACTGAGTGTTGGTCCGCTGGGTGGAGGCGACACAGGTTTTCAGTAGCGTTACGTCAGAGTAGCGAATGCCAGCCTGCTCTTCTTGGCTTGTGTGTGGACAAAGCCAATGAAAACTTTCACCCCATCTAGAACTTCAAGCCCTTGGGAAATAAAGAGAAGGGACAACAGTATCCTTTCACAGGTCGGTGCTTGTCTTTGTCAGGGCTTTCATTCATTCAGTGGACGCGTCTGAGCACTGGCCACGTGCTCGTCCCTATTCTGTGTGCTTAGGATGTGGTCTCACACAGCAGATCCCCAGAACAGGCTCTCTTCTTGCCAGGCCGGGGATCGTAACAATAGACACAATGAAAAATTCCTATAACGTTAGATGTGATGTTAAGTGATAAGCATTACAGGAGAAGCAGCAGA